CCCCAAAACCCCAAAACCCCGTCTGCCCTTATTCATCAGAACGTAAATAAAATTTAAGTTGAGTAAGATTTTTTAATTAATTTTAAGTGATATTTATACATTTTTTATATGTCGTATCCTACACCATAAACATCGCAAATCCAAGGAGCTAACTCCTCAATGAGAATTCACTCTGAATACTACGATGATGATTTATCACCCACCAAGGGCTATAGTGATAATAAAGCTTCTAGAGTTCAAAATATGACTCCGTAGCAAATAAACTATTGTAAGTTTCAAGAATTCACTCTCAAAATTTCCATTAGCGAGTAGATCATCTTAGATCAGCAAGACAGTAAATGGACCTTATATGAAGTTAGAAGACAAGATTCTGATGATTAGTAGATTGGAATCAGATTTTTAAGTGCTTATGAGATAATTACTAGACTAGGAGGAGGTCTCAAATGATGACTTGCTACTTATTAGAGAGCTTTTAGCAAGTCAAAAGAATAAATTTGATTTAAGGAAGTCCTAGAGTGGAAAAAAGAGTCAGAAGAATCAACAGCAAGTTTAAAGACCGGCCTCATCTCTGCTATACGAAAAGCAAGCATAGCAAATTGGGAGGTCCTTTCAAAATGCAAACAAGAAAGGTCAAGGGAAATTCGCACCAGTTTTGAATAAAGGCTCAAATGAAAAACTAGTGAATCAAAAAGCCAACTACACCTAGCCAAAGTCAAATCAAAATCCTAAATCAGAGATATCTCTTTCAACTAGAACTTTTGATGTGAGTAAAAATGAACCACTAAGAAATAAAGTTGTTGAAAAAGCAAAGTAAGATTAAGAAGCTGGCACAAGAAACATTGAAATAGTAAATAAGAACTAGTAGGAGATAAGTCCAGTTAAGAATGGCAATGCCTAAGAACAAATTCAAATAATTCAATAGCTTCCAGATTAAGATAATCTTGGGTAAGCTCAAGAATTTTAAGTCAAGAAAAAGATGTACGGAGTATAATCCAAGAACAAGAAGCTAGATGCTAAATAAAATGATGAGAATAAGAAATACACAAAGCAAATAGATTTAATCTTCAATAGGCCAGTGCCTCAATCCTAAAATGTCAACAACTGCTGTTTGTTTATATTTGACGTTGCTAAATGCATCTCTAAAAAGACTCATAAACTTAATAACTGGACTGAACTGCAAACATATCTAAATTCTATAGGTAAAGAAGAAGCTATATAAGAAATAAAGCAAGTCTAAACAAACGGAGCCAAGCTCACAATTGTAGACAAGGCCAGAATCAAGAGTCTTTATCCTTGCTTTTAAGAAGATAACACTGACCTAATTTACTCGATACTTAGTGACATTTATGGAGATATAAGCTCTAAGGACGATAATAATGTAAAACCAGGTTCTATTGTGGTAAATAAAAGGAGTCCTGGCAAACAGATGTCTCTCCTAAAGAAAGTAGAAGTTGAGTATGAGGAGATAAATGCTTATTAAGGATTTGAAAAGAGGAAACTAGATAGTCTAGTTTAAAATGAATCAATAATATGGCAAAGTGACTAGCTCAAGATAGCACCTATATATATTAAAGCCAAAGCTGATGAAGGGCTAACTGGATCAATTATCTTGATTGAGAAGAGGACTGAAAGAAAGGCTCAGGAATCAGAAAGCCCCAAAATTCAAGTTAAAGTCTAAAAGTAAGCAAAACAGTAATCAGTGAACAAGAATGATAAAGTAATTTAGAGGTAAACAAATGTAGAAGAGCCCAAAATTTTAATGAGCAGCTAAGTGAATCCAAATCAGTTTAGTAAGAGTCAGCAACTAAATCAAGATAAGCAGACAGTATTACAATCAAGCAGAAGCTAGAATTAACTCTACACTTAAGAAGAACCTCTAGCAGCTTATTATAATCCTGTGCTAGAAAAGAAAACTCAAGAAATATAGAGTGAGTTTATGGAAATATTGAGCGAAATGGAGCGCAGAAGAAACAGCAGAGGGGATCCATAAGCTTTTTATTAGGGAGTATCAGATTTTTATAGAGAAGGTTCAGAGTCTCATAACTCCCCCACAAGGAGATTAATTGATCATAAAAATACTAAAGTAGATCATCAGTAATCAATAAAGGAAAGAGATGACTTGAGATTATCTAATCAAAAGCAGCAGTTTACATACACTACAAGTCCTAATAAGACATATATAGTTGAGCCCCATGGAGAGAGTGTGAGCTATAGCATGGTTAAGAAAGATCCAACTAAATTCTATGAAAGGTTCTTAAACCAGGATGTGACTTAGCATAAAATACAGTCATTTAGAGAGACAAATAATAGGCAGTCTCTCAACTAGAGGCCTAAGTCATCCATAACCACGAAAATCACCAAAAGACCTTAAAATAAAATTATTGAGCACATTAAGGAGAAGATAGCAAACAGAATTTTTGAGAAGATAGGCAACTAGATAGCTTATGATCAGATCAAAAACATCATTAGTGATCAGGTGTATGATGATTAAATTAACTAGCTTATTAAGAATGATAAGATCAAACTTCAAAATAGGAATAAATCTCCTAACAGTAATCTATCCTCGAAAAATCCAAACTCAAGACCATAGAGCAGAACTAGCAGTAATATCGATTGCATAAATTAATAAAATGGACTTTAGAATATGAGAAGAAGCGCATTACCAATAAAAAACAAGAATAATGATAGTTAAACGATTGATGATATTGTAAGTATATTCTTCTATATAATTTATTTCACTAGACTATTGATGACTTTGAATTGCAAATGCTGCAAAAGAGTGTTCTAAGATCTCATAAATCAACTATCAGTAGTTCAAACAAAAAGCATCAACTATGAAATGAAGAATAGTTATTAAATAATGATTATTATTATTTTTAAGTAAAATACTTTAAATCTTTATTTCATGAATTTCACTCATGTTAAGAAGTCATTGTTAAAAGAGTTTTCAGTCGAGCTGTCCTGCAGCTGATGCTTTTTATTTTTGTGCTTCTTATACGGATCTGTAGCTCTTATCATTCCAAGTCCTGGTATCTGATTCTGCTGCATCTATCCTCCCTTATAGATGTGCATCATCATCATTTCTTAGTAGTACTTCTACTGCTGATCCCCTCTTTTCATTCTGTTCTTTACATCATCCCACATCTTTTTATACTTTTAAGACTCTTTCTTGATGTCCTCCAACTAAGTGGTAAGACCCATGATCTTTTGTAGCATTCTCTTTTGCTCCATTTCATAGTATTCCATATCTCTCTGCAATAAATTTTTGGTGTTAGCTCCGTCTTAGTTCTAGTTGAGTAGTAATGCCTCTTGTTAATCCTAAATCTAGGTTTAGTTTTATCTCTGATCAATATCTTTTTTCCTTTTTTCTATATCTTAGACTTGCTGATTCATCTGCTATAACATTTCATCCTTGCCTTTGTAAGTCCTAGGTGTGCTGTTATTACTGCTTATTTCTGCTAATTTCTATTTATTTTACAGATTCATCTACTGGCTTACCTCATTGCTTGAAGCAATCTCCTAGCTCTATAGGTTACTATTCCTTGTCATCATAATGGGGTCTTGGTTGATGGCTAGTTTTTTCTGGATCATGATTCTATGCTTCTTTATCTCAATGATTTTATTCTATAGTTCATTAGTAAGTGTTGACTTTTGATTCTCTAGAGTCAATACAAGTAGCTATTTCTCCTGTACTTCCTCGCTAAGCAACTCCTCTAGTTTATTCTTCTCCGACAAAATTCTCTCAATAATCAACTGCAAGTTGGCTATTCTTTCAGACTCCTCTGATTCAATTTCCTTAAGTAATGACTCTTTTTCTCTATAAATCTGTTCTAGCTTTTTCTAGAGAGTATCCTTGAGGAATTTCTATTCACTTTCAATTGAATCTAGAAGCTCTTACTTCTCCTTCTACTCCCTCTCAAGTTGTTTTTTCAAAGCACTAATTGAGATAATTTAATCTGTAATTTTAAACTTACTCTTTCCTCAGGTTAACTTCCCTCAGCTGTTTATTCAAAGTTCGAAGGAGAAAGTTCTATTCCTCTTCAAGCTATTGCTCTATTTCGAGTCTTTCTCTATTGATCTCCTGCAACTTACGGTGAAGGTAGTTATTGATGTGTTCCTCTTCACTCTGTACCTTGCATTAAATGTCATGCTTTTCCTTTTGTATTTGCTCTAGCTTCTAAACTAGCTTGTTTGAAATGAAATCTTCTTCTGCTTCACTCTTAATCGACTAATGATTTAATGATAAACAAAAGGGAAAAGTAATTTGAATGTTTACGATCTTTGCTGAGATTTCCTTGGCTTTAGTAATTTGCTTTTTGAGGTCTCCGTTCTATTACTTCGTTCTCTGAATCATCTCAATCAACTGAGTCTTAGATAGGTTACTCAGATTGCAGTCTTGCAAGTTGAAATTATTGGAAGATGGCTATTTAAGTATAAATCATTTCAATATAAAAATACCTCATTGTTGTCTTGATTCTAAGATATAGGCTAGTTACTAGCTTGACTCTGACTATCTTGAGACTACTCTTGGTTGATAAGATCCATTAACTTTATATATTTTCAATCGATTTTAATTCATCAACTCTTATTTTTATAATATCATATGGGGTTTTGGGGTTTTGGGGTTTTGGGGTTTTGGGGTTTTGGGGTTTTGG